AGTTGGTCAACCTCCAGAGAATTGGACGAGCGGGGTTGACCTAGGTCGTCTTCTTGATCTCCTTGAGCTCGATCTGATTACATCCGATGAAGGTTTTCGAGGTCTGTAGCCTGTACACACACTAGGAATTAACACTGCTCTTATACCAATTACTAGTGTCCGTTCAGAACCTGAAAAATATTGGTAAAGGATCATTTGGGGTCGACAAATCAGAGGCTCAAACAAATATGATTTCCCCCCCTAAATTTGCAATTAATTCTACTCTTATTAGTTATTATTAATATCATCATAATTATTATTGTTTTAACCCCATGAAACTTATTTACATGTGAAGTTTTTCAAAACAATACTCTTATTTAATTGGCATTATACTAGTATATGGTAAAACCAAACACAAGAAAATAACTTTTATTTACACTTTTTTTCTTTAACTAGAATTTTCTGCATCTAAATGGGCAATTGCTCCCTAGTTCTTATGCCTTGAATCAACCCGTCATATTTCTTACTGTGCTGCGTTTTCTGTTTTCCTAAAAAAAACAGCTGAACCACAAGAGCATAGAAACGAATTTCAAGTAGGAACCGGTTCAACAGTGGCTACCAATTCATCACCTACCCAGAAAGTTTCCTTGAAAAAGAAACCTGGGGAGAACTTGGAACCACTAGATCTGAACATCCGACAAGCTCCAGCTGATAGTAATGAGGGGCCAACTCCACCACCAGTAAGGCACCACCATGAATTTCACATTCAGACAAAAAGTGAATCAGCAGGTCCCAGCTGTATCGAGCACCAGTTCATTGAGAGCGTCTCTGATGATGCGTCTCCGGCACAACAGGACATCCCAGTGGGAGGTGTTGAACTAAATATTAATAATAATTTACATGCATTAAGGGACGGGGTTTCTGTTTCTTTGCAGTTAGGTGAACATGAACCTGAACCTAAGAGAAGGAAGCATTCTGAATCTGAGGTTGCCTCTTGACATGCTGATTGCTGAGATATGAGCAATGATCCAAAAGTGAAGTGCAAGTATACTGGGGGAGGGGGGGATTATTATGGCTCTAGATTAGTGTTGTAAGGTATAGGGTACTAATGGCCGAAAGCAAATTCTAATTATTTAATCTGTATAACCCGTTGGGGTAGCTATTAGGTTAAAGGTGTTCTATGGCCTGCAAATCATATCTGAGAATGCTCGGTGCAAAAAGTATTGGTCTACCGTTGGGAAGAAAACTCAAATATTTTATTATATGCTGTTTTCAAGATGTCTCCGTTGTGTTTGTCAGTGAACAAAAATGAGTAAATTTCAATTTGACCTGTACATTGTTCACATCTTACTTTCAATCTGTGGCTTTTATTTTTCATTTTCAACCAATTATTATACTTCAAAAATATTCTGATTTTAACATTAATGCCTAAACGGTCTTATGCTATAAAAATTTTCTAACTTATCTTCAACCATAATCAAAGGAGAAATTGCCCTAAATAAGACTAAATGAGGTTTGGAATTCCAAAATAGGACTACTATATTTTTCTTCCCAAAATAGGAGTTGTGACTGTCATGATTGAAAAATACTGTCATTAATTATAATAAATGTTATCATGTTAAATGCATTTTATTGCAACTATTTGGCAATCACGCCTACAAGATAGCAGTAAATATTTTTCATGTTAATCCTATTTTAGAAATAAAAACATAACAGTCTTATTTTGGAATTTCAAATTTTATTTGCTCCTATTTTTGAAAATCTCCCTAATCAAAGTTGTTTTATACTTCCTATTTCCTCCGCTCTTTTAGGGAAAAGGATCAAATAGATCTTTTCATTATTTCTAAATCATCACTTAAATCCATGAGAAATGCTAGAGGAACACGTTTTTTATACACGTTTGGTGTACACTTGTCTTTCCTTCACAGACAATGTCTGTATTGTCTGTGACAGACAATTTGTCTGTGAAGGAAAGACAAGTGTACACCAAACGTGTATAAAAAACGTGTACCTCTAGCATTTCTCTAAATCCATATACTAGAAAAAAAAGTACTATGGTACTACGTAGTACGAATTATATAAGTATGTTTATTTTAAAAACACAGTAAATCAGGTACTATAATATGCTATAGCAGATTACTTTTGAAAAAATAATTAGAATAATGGATAAATCTTATAAATATTCATGTTTATTTAAAAAAAACAATGTAATAATAATATAAAAATACTCCATTGATAATTAGAACAATTGATAAATCTTGTAAACATTCACAAATAGATAAGTTTTAAAATGTTAAAATAAAATAAAAAAACAGAAAAATGAAAAAAAAAACAGTGAAAGTGTATTTAAACTTCATTCTATTCTTGTTCGCTATTCTTTACGTTTTTTGGTGTATTTTATTTTTACTATACTTTCCCATTTTGGCAAGTTTATGTTCCCTTAAAAACAATTAATTTCTCTTACTTTTTATCTTCTCTTTTATATTTTTTCATCTTTAGACCTACTTCTCACACACTATTCATTACTCCTATTATTCATCCCATAAACATTGTGTCAAATCCTATAGTAGCAAACAATAGAATATGGAGGGAGTATAAAATTAATATGTATTAAATTTTAAAATGATATAGAATGTATGATTTTTTTTTAAATTGTCCATGGTTTATATTTTTATTTCTTCGAATATTAATAAATAGTTAAAGTTTTTAATATATTAAAACTTGCTATTACGGGTCAAACCCGGTTGAAAGGTCAGGTTGATCGATTGTTTAAAATAAGCACACTTATATGATGTTTTTTAGTATATGAGTTTAAGTGATGAATTGAAAATAGTAGAAAAATCTATGTACCTCTTTCTTGTTATTTTATTAATTATAATGTTTTCATTTTCACATTTGAAGTTTAACAAAAACAAATTATAATATATTACGGAGTGATGAATAAAATGTGGTGAAAGTAGAGAATGGATTTATGAGAATTCAACATGTTAAATCCATTTAAGAATGGTGGTAATTTCCATTTAAAAAATGGTGGTAATTAAATGGAATAACGAAAAGTCAAAAAACAATACTACATCCCATTTAAGTTTTTTTCCGTGTTGCACGATTAGGGGTGGACCCTGATTTTGGGATTAAAACCCGATGGACGACGGATAAAGAACCAGGCCAACGTGAGGTAATCATAATAAAGAATATAAAATTGTGAATTTATAACTCTTTTTAAAATAAGATTTGCTTAGGGTGGATCTAACTAAAATGCTAAATGGATTTTTATTCACTAGCAAGTCCTGGTATGACACAATGAATCGTTTTTAGTTTTTCGCAGTCTCCTTAGAATTGTTATGGATCCTTACACCATTATTATATGTTCTTGACGTTTTCAAACTGGCAGCTCTCTCTATTGTAATATTGTTGCTCCATCCACATTGCATACTAATCATGGAATGATGTGTTCTGGGTTCTGTCTCCCCCACTGTTGTGTCATATTTGTTTTTTTTTAAGTCATTATGTTACTACATGTTCATCTAGGTTTAATCCCGCAACTAAATAGATATTGGCTGCTCCTGTCCCTGGCTACTCTAATAGTCTAATATGTACGCATTTTAACTTTCTCATTTTGCGACATTTTTGGAGTTTTATTATAATAGTACTTCATCCGTACTGAAATAATAGTCTTGTTTCTTTAGCACAAGTTCTAAAAATAGTGGTTGAAAAGAAAAAAAATTGTTGTTGAGGCTTGAGTAAAATACTCGGATTGATATGAGTCACATATTATTGTCAAAAAAACAAGACAATAATTTCAGAATGAATCAAGTAATATTTTGCCTATTTACGAAGATAACACAACACATTGACATGCAAGCGTAATTCTTCAATGTATATAATTGATTTAATAAATCTCATACACAACTCCAAGAATAATGAACAATATTAATAAGTATTTGGGATGTGTTTAGCAGTTTAGATATAAATATATAATGGTAAAAAATATATTAGAATACAAGAATATATTAGAGAATATAGATTGACGAAGACGAGAGAATGAGAGATTTGAATGTGCAGAAAAAATGAAAAAAAAAAGGCATTTGTAGACTCCATCGGTTCTAAGAGCATTGAAGGAGAGTAGGTGACTACAATGCTCCCAACGGTGAACGGACTATGCTTCAACCAAGAGGAAAAATATGTACTAGCATCTGAGACCAAACTAACCGGTCATGGTATCAATATCTACAGCCAGGAACCGGTCCTTCTGAACCGCCCCGCCTATACCCGAACCGCCCCCACCAATCCCGATCAATTCCAAGAACTAGGCCATCCTAGTCGAACTGGTCCCAAGAGGCCAAGACCGGGACCGTGTTCACCCCCTACAGCCCTACCTACTCGGAGCTGGACATGTCCATGCTTACAGTGGCGGACACAGGGGATGACCAAGAGGGGCTGCTGCCCCTCCAAAAAATATACGAAGTATATAAGTATATTTACCCTGAAATTTTAAATGTATATGTATTTTGTATGTATATTTTTGTATTGCCGGCTTGCCGCCCCTGCTACCGGAAATTCCTGCGTCCGCTGCTGCATGCTAAGGAATACTACAAAGTATTGTCCGCACTACAAAGTATTGTTATTTTTTTTCAAATTATTAGTAACTACAAATTACAAGTATTAACTATATACTCATGCTTTGATTCCAAATTCAGTATTGTGAGTCTGTGACGCATTAATTTGCCCACATGGATTCATTGATATGGAAAAAAAAACATCTCGTGACCAAGTCCAACACATATACGACAAACCAGTTCTGATTTCCAGACCAGTTTGGTCTCCAAGTAAAAGGATGAACTTAGTAACCAGAATCGCCGCGAAAATAAAACTGAAAGTCTGAAACCAAACGTGGCTATGGTTCCGGTTTACCTATTTGACGCAGAACTGGGTAGTTTAAAACTAGACCGTGTCCATCCCTAGCAGTTCATTGCCAACCTGAGTAGTGGAATAGCGTGACAAAGACACGAAAATCAAGAAAAGTAGAGCACTGCCGATTCGGAAGAACTGAAGGGGATAATTTATAATAGATTATGTCCACAGAGATACAGATTAACCTGCATTGGATACAGCATTATTACCCTGTATATGTACACAATAGATTGTACAACACACGCCTATACAAGGATTATAGTTCTCTAAAACATCTTGCAAACACATGGGTTATATAACCGTCATCCCAACATGTCAATCACTTCAAGGGCAGTGACAATTTATTCAAGCATTTGCAGAAACAGGTATCATGCCATTTATCTCAGCCGCAAGGCAGCCATCGAGTGTAGGTTGGTGGTGCACAACCACAGTGGCATGCGCATCAGCACCTTCTTCACGCAAAGTTTTATCGTCTCCAACATGAGAAACACAAATGGAACCCACAACAGCCGTCTTATCTCCCACTACATTATGATCTTCCCTCACAATCTCCTCATCGTCTTTGGCTATGATTTCCCATTCCTCTCTAAGTGATGTTATCTGCACACCACCTTCCCCTTGGTGCCTCTCCATCTCATCAAACAAGGTGGGGAGGATAACATAATCATTAACTGGGTTATAGAAGGGATCGCGGTCTGCCTTGAGCCAGTGCTTAACAATCCTAAACACATGACGATCACAGAGGATCCCTCGGTGATCCCCTGGAACTCCAACCCTTGCTTCTGCATTAAGCCCATCTGCCTGTAAATCGATGATTAATATAGAGCATTTAGTACACTCACCGGTTTAATTTATTTTAATTTAAAAATCATAAGCATAGTCAAATGAGTAATTCATGTGTTATCTACTCGCCGAGTACTCGCAACTCGAGGGTGGCTGTTCCAGTTAGCACTCTGACTCAGCCTGTTCTGTTTATCCGAGTATCATGGCATCGGATAGGCCTGTCAATGGGTCGGGTCTAGGCAGGAACATAGTATTCGATCTGGATCCGCTGACTGATTTATAGTTCCAGACCGAACCTCATACCCGGCGAGTCTGAAATTGTTGTTCCAGACCCGGACCTAAAGGGTCCCGGAACCGGATCTGGTAGACCCATCCAATATGAGATTAAAATATTGCAATTTTTTCTAAAAATTATAGACCTGTCTTTGAACTGATTCATTTAGGGAGATAAAAAGTATAAAGGGATTGAAAAGATAGAAATACATTAAGAGTTGGAGCCATAATAGTTACATAGTTTTAATAAAACAAAAGCAAGTGTGGTAGCATAACTTAAAAAAAACAAGAGTTTGCTTTTTGAATAAAAACAACATGGCATGTGTGTAAAGCAGTCAGTAGATAGTGTGTTTGTGTGTGTGTGCGCGCACGTGCATATGAATAGTGGGATTATGGGAATTTCTAACAGGGACGGGTCTTTAACAGGTGGAATCATGGAATTATATGTACCATACCTGATCCGTTTATAATAAAATAAGAGGTCCATATCTACGTATATGGAATAAAATATAGACACATACATGTTACAATAAGCGGGTCTGGGTCTAAACCCTACCCATTGACAGGCCTACACGGCGAGCTTCTTAACTCGATGACAACTTTGACTTAGTGAGTTACTCAGTAACCACTATTCACATAGTATTCAAATATAATGGCTTATAATACTTCAGACTCTTCAGTGCAATATAATATTCAAATACACCAAAACCTAGTCACAAATTAAAATCAGTTATGCCCCCACATACAGTGTCAGTCCAAATGGACCATGCATCCCTAACCCTCAAGGGGCCATGTCATTACCTACTCTGGCTTATAGATTAATGGCTTAGAGAAAAGGCAATGTCGTAAGCAAAACATACAAAGTCCATTTTGTATACCATGCCTCACATCAGAAGAAGAGTATAAAGCTAAATAAAATTTCTAATACCTAAATAAGAACAATGAGGAGTAAACCCAAAAAATCCAAATTGACATGAAATTTATTGTACTAACCAATGAAAAGATTTGACATGCGAAGGTAGAGTGCAAATGGTACCTTTGCAGATTCTGTTGGAACTGTTCCATCACCATCTACATATATGTACTTGGGCTGAAAATATCCAAAGCATATGCATCTTAACCACTACTTACTAGCAAGATTCCTAGTTTATTAATACTGGAGATACTGAGATATAAGTTGTAGAACAGCAACATTCATCCAGTTGAATGAATGATAACTATGGCAACTATTTCACAAGAAGCTAAGCTAAATGTCAAGGCAGTTCACAAGAAGTTTAGTGGCAGGCGGCAGCACATAAAATAAATGGTTTTACCGTTACAAAAGGCAGCTGCTTCAACTCTGAGAGAGGTTTATCTCTGCTTCCATAACTGCTAAGCAAGAAACATTAAGCATAAATGAACTACATCCAACCTATAGTTATAACATACAAAATATTATGTCCATCCCAAAAAGTGTGATGTTGGACCAATATAAATTTTATTTATGGCAAGGTAGAAGTTACAACGATCATGAATCACACTTTATGTTTTTGAAACTTAAATTTTTCCTATGTAACTAGTGTCTAACTCTTTTTGGAGATCTGTAAGAAATGAAATAAAAATTTAGATTAATTTGATCAAACATGACTTAGTTTTTGGGACAAAAATATGCTTTGATGCATGACCCGGAGGGTGAACTTTTTATCTTGCCAAATTCTTAATACTATTTCAAAGAAAGAACTCAGTAGATATTACCTGACACTATGAGGAGTATCATAGCTGGTGCCATAGATATTATAAAATTTGACTTGAGTAGGCATCTTAGCACGGTTTAACACATTTCGAGTTTCATTGGCCCATTTGAGAATTTCAATATTAAACGGTAAAGCTATATCAGCGCCGTCATAGGTCACCTGCAAAAATAGAACCATTCCTTCAATTATACCATATTATTAATTATTAAACAAGGTACTAAGTTTGAAAATCATAGCAAAAATAATATTTACATTTTACAGCATTGATATAACAATTTGATTTAATATGACATATAGTAAAACTATAGAACTCAATTATAAAAACCAAGGATAAAAGGAACACCTTAAATGATTTTCATATTTCATGGATATTAAAAAACAAAGTGCACAAAATAAGAGAATGAATCCAGATTCATCAAGGTCAACAACAATTGTGCAAGGAATTTCATTGTATACAAATACAGCTCCCTTTAAGCGACAATCAGAGAACTCCAGACATTTTCCCATATACCATTAATCAGAACTCCCCACACAGTGAATGACCATTTACCTTGTTATTTTCAAGAGCTTCCTTTAAAACTGATACAGCTTGAACTGGAGGATATGTCTCCAGCATAATGGTAGGATCTCCATTGCTATTACAGCTCTCCTTCCAAACTTCTAGAAGTGGCAAGTGTTCCCAGTTAAAATCTAGAGCACCCATCAATTCATATATCGATGGACATTCAATTAACTGAAATATCAAAATTTGCAAATATCAGTTCAAATTTCTTTAATAAAAAAGTATTGCCCAAATGAGGTGCACAAAGGCCCAAGGAATCAAAGGTATACAATGGGGAGCTTCAGAAGAGTACAGAATAAAAATGATATGACATACAAATCTCCATCAAACACTGACAGATAGCTAAAGAATGAGTAACTAAAGTGTAAACTATTCAAGAATCCTTCAGAACTTCAAAGTGTATCTATGGTGGAATTACAACTGAAAATCAAGAAAGTAAAAACAGATAGGACTCTTCGAGAGGTGCTTCTCCCAGTCTATTTCTAACTCACTAGCAGCCTACTCCTTATTCCTTACTTCCTTCTATTTATACTACTACAATTATTACCAATAACCCTATTCTACATGGGTCCCTATCTTATTATTAATAGCATAAATCTGTCCGGGTCCCTATCAGTACTCCCTCCTTTGATAACCACCTTGTCCTCAAGGTGGGTGATATGAAACAGCCATGATCTTCAATTTCCTCTTCATCCTTGCACCACTCCTTCCCAATACTTGACTGATTGCTGGACTAGGAACTTCAGCATTAGATCTTTAAAGATCACAGACGTTTCGGCAACAGAAGTGATATCTAGTGAAGTTTCATTCGCTTTAGTAAATTTCCAGCACTCAATAGCAACAAATGTTTCTTTACTTATCTGCAGCTCCTCATACTTTCTCTCTTCTGAAACTAATACTGTACTGGATGCAAACTTCTCTCTGTACCTTTCAACTTTTGCCTCTTTCAATTCTTTGACTACCTCATATGAAAAGGAATGCATAAAAGGCTCTAACAAGCAAGCCAGGAGATACACTATACCAGCAGTTCTCCCAACTATGGAACAGGAAAACCTATCTACCATGAAAAACTTCCAAAATTGGTTTTCTTGCAGGTAAGCATTTCCTTCCCCAGAAATGGGCATGGTCATTTTCAAGCCTTGCTTCAATTTTACCTTTTCATCGTCTTCAATATGTTGTTCCACATAATTTTCCGCTGCTTTCTCAGTGATAAAATCTGAACTTCTGAGCTCTCCAAGTGGAACCTCTGATCTGAAATCCTTGTCATAGTAACTCCTCAAGATATTCCCAGGGATCCAATCCAACTTGAAGCTTTTAAACAAGCCACTGGAACAGGTCAAACAATGATTTCTGTAGACCTCCGCTACCCTCTCCCATGTATATCTTTTCACTAGGACAGATGTGTTTCTAAGTCTCTCAGCCACAAGCTTGATTCTTTCAGAATCTGTGGAGGATAAGGCACAACCTGCTGCATCACAGAAAATAGCAACTACTGGCTTACGAGCAAATTCTGGTTTTAAAGACGATTCCATGAGGTACTGTGTTGGAGACATCAATTACAGCAGCCTGAATAGTAAAGTCCAGATTCACATGGTTCCACCCCACTGGTATTCTGAATTAAAGGCAATAACTGCACCAAACTCTTATTTCATAATTTTTTTATCAACACTGCTATCAAGAGCAAAATTATTAGCCCATTTCAGTCAAAAATCTGAGGAGCCCAAAGATAGAACTATAGAAGCATGACAATCTTGTGTTCATTAGCATCCATTCTGTTCTTTCGAACTGAATGTCCAACGTAGACTACACCCGATGTATCATATCTCTAGTCATCTGTAGCCTTGATCCCTTTACCAGTAATAACCATCTGAAACCGATAGTCACAAACTACAGCCCCATCTGGAACAGGTATACAGACTATTGGCATTCCTCTAACATTTCCCTTATCATCTCCAGTAAATCTTACACCCAACCCATTTCGGATATATTTCATAGAATTCACACCATCAATTTTGAATCCCTCAAACTGATTCAGCCCTTCTAACATTTCCTTTGATGAATGATGGTGCACAATATGACACCCAACTCCAGTTCATGAACTCTACCCATCACAGATTTAAAATATTCTGGGTATTGGTCTAGTGCACTAGCAGTCTAGCATACCTTTGAACTTCATAGATAAGATTATCAGATTTGCGCGCACCGGACTCTTCTAGATTATCTGGTGAATCAACATTTTCTGCCCCTTCCCAAATATCATCCTTCGTCTCCAATTCTTGAACTGAAGGTGCAGACGGCGTGGGCTTCAACTCAGTGTTCCGTGTTGGTGGTGGAGTTCCCAGCAATGAAAGTTGCACCTGGTGAGAGACGACTTGCGAAGACGAGTTGTGACTTGTGAGAGTCCGCGAGTGAGGAAGCCTGCGATCTTGGAGAAACGGATGGAGACGACACCTGCGAACAGTGAGATTCTGCTCTTGATTGCGTCTTACTTGGACGCAATCTGATAGCTGATGAAGATGCATGCGGACTAAGAAAGGCTGTTGCTGACTGCTGAGAACTGAGAAGGAGTTCGAGACGCGAACTGTGATACGAAGTTCGTGATGGCGAACTGTGATACAAAGTTCGCGACTGCGAAGAAACCTGCACACTTAGTGATGAACTGGGAGACACAGTTAACGACCACAACGAGCACTGGTTTTCAGTTGAACGACGACGTCTAGGGCTCCTCGATCAGTGTAGGCGATGATGTTGACCCATACTGACATACTGTGAAGCATATCTTTCATCTTGTTCAGCATAGCTTTCATCTCCTTCATACGTCGTTCCATATTGTCAAAACTCTTCCATTCGTGGTGACATATAGAATTCCTCCATCGCTTCCAGGTCGTTGATGCTCTGGGATGATCGATGATTCACATTCTCTGCCTCCAGGAAGTGGCGTGCTTTGATGCCAATGATAAACATAGACAGATAGCTAAAGAACGAGTAACGAAAGTGTAAACTATTCAAGAATCCTTCAGAACTTCGAAGTGTATCAATGGTGGAATTACAACTGAAAATCAAGAAGGTAAGAACAGATAGGACTCTTCGAGAGGTCCTGCTCTCCCAGTCTATTTCTGACTCACTAACAGCCTACTCCTTATTCCTTACTTCCTTCTATTTATACTACTACTATTATTATCAATAACCCTATTCTACATGGGCCCCTATCTTATTATTAATGGCATAAATCTGTCCAGGTCCCTATCACACAGTAGTCTATCATACCACATTGTTCTGTCTCGCAATGACAAGCAACACAAGTAAACAGTTGAAACAAGATTACAATATTAGACTGAGTCCATTTCCTAGGAAAGAAATGGGTGAGTATGTGGAGGAGATAATGAGATATACCTCCAAGTCTTAATATCTTGAGGCCAAGATCAGATTGACAAATAAAATAAATGACTTAGGATATTTTTGTCACAATAGAAGAAAGATGTAGAAACGGGAGGCTATGGCAATGTACTTCATATTCCAAAGTGATATAAGGTAAGCTATACTTATAGCTGAATATATAATGAAAGAATGACAAAAATATTATCTATGAGAGGAAGCTGGTCGCTGACACACTCTCCCTTATGGGAGGTCTCGGGTTCGAAACTCCATGGAAGCAGTTTCAGCCCTGTTTATCTCAGGCCCCTCCCTCTGATCCCCCATTCCCCCTGGGGTAAAATAAAATAATAAAAAACGAAAAATATTATCTGAGTTTCAATTCGACAAATATATGACATCATTTAAAATAGGACAAAACAGTCATTAATTACTAATAAATGGACTGGCATAACCCTACTTTTTCTACTCCCACGCTCACATCTCACCTCCTGCTTCAGCCCCATCCTCGCATCTCACCTCGAGGCCTCATGCTTCAGCCTCATCTACGACCAGACCAGGAGATGCCGCCGCCACCAGACAACCAAGAGCCGCCGCCACCAGACAACCAAGAGCCGCCATCACCAGACAACCAAGAGCCGCCGCCACCAGAAAACACCGTTAGCTCATCTCCTCCTCCAGATCGCCACCTCCGCCTTCACCTCGCCGGCTCCTGCTTTTATTCTTCTTCTTCATTTTCTGTCCGATGTAAGGTGAAGGCGATGAGAACGTCGAGGACGGAGGACCACATGTGAAGAAGATGGCTACGGCCTCCAATCGGAGAAAGCTCTGATTTGAGGTTGCTGCAGCCGGCAGGGGTGTGCCTGAGGTCCGATGGGGCAGGGGCAGGGGCAGGAGCAGGGGCAGGGGCAGGAGCAGGGGCAGGGGCAGGGGCTATGGAGTAGTGACGGCGGCAAATCCTAGGTCATGCTCAGTTCGGGGATGGCGGCGATAGCTACCTGACTGTGGCTAAGGTTTGTAGCTGCTAGTGTGGATAGGTGGGGGTGGTGCAGAGGCAGGTGGACATTGGTGGGGTAGGGACGGGCTGATGGGTTGGGGGCGGTGAAGGGGCTGTGGGGTAGTAACGGGTCTGGTAGGCATAGGGCGGGGGGCATAGGCAGTGACGGTGGATGGGATAAGGTGGTGTCACTGGCGGCCTGGGAGTGGCGGCCTGGGAGTCACTGTAACTGGGTGGCGGCAGATGTATCTGTCAGTGACGTGGTGGTTACTGTGGCCGTCAATTGTCACTGAGGTCTGCAGCGGCCACTAAAGGGTGGAGCCACTGGTGTTAATCACTGGCTGGCGGTAGACACTAACGGCAGTGGTCACTGTGGCCGGCAGTGGTCATTGCGGCTGGCGGTAAAATATTAGGTTGTGTTGCTAATATTTCGAAGCTTGCAAACAGCGCATTCAATTGACACATGAACTCCACCATAGTCATGGATGTGAATATAACTGTAATAAGAGCGATTTCGAAATGAGAACCAGTAAACGAAAACATGCACAGTAACATACAATAAGTCAATAAAGTGATTATTGTTATTACATCTAATACAAACAAGATTCAAGGCCACACATACATGGGAGATTTCTGACTCTCAGTCTGGTCCATGTCTTTGGCAGAGTTACCCACCTGATTGTATCCATTGTTATGTGAATTTAAATAAAATTTTGATTTTCAATACACATATCTATGCAAGTCTTATTGATAGGTTTCAACAATGATCCTTCCTTCCATGGGAATATATTGGTACACTGAATTGGAGGATATAGGAAATCAATTCCATGTTGTTCGCTCAGTGTGGGAATATGAGGTGACTTCAACCCACATTAAAGTAGTTGGTACAGATATACATTGAACTACTCTTGACTGAGGATAAAATTTCAAGAGACTACCCTAAATAAGAGTAAGAATAATATGAAATTCCAAAATAGGAGTATTATGTTCTCCTCCGGAATAAGAGTAATTACTACCATGCTTAGAATATACGGCTAATTATGGCATTATTACTGCCATATTAATGCTTGGTAATGCCAAAAGAACAATTTAATTACAGGATAGCAGTAATTAACTTTTATTTCGGGGGGGGGGGGGGGGGCATACCGGCATAGTGCTCATAGTTCACATTGTTTTTACTCCTATTTTATGAAATTTCCCTATAATTTATTCTCTCATAATATTTATTTTAGTACGTAGTATTAGTTATTAAAATTTAAATATTTTTAGAAGCACAAGAACCTAACTTGAATATCATAAATACAACAATAACGACAACATTACCCCAGTGCCGCAAAGGCAAAGGTTCCCACCTACGGTGGAGTAAGGGGGGTCGGGTGCACCACTGCACGTAGTCTTACCCTGTACTAAAGCAGGGAGAGACTGTTTCCGGATGACCCATGAATATTTGAAAGAAAAAATTAGAGTTTAAAAAAGTTAGGATGCCCGCAGAACAGTGAACAAGTAAACCTAGGTAGCACGGAAACAGGAAACGGGAAACGTCATTTACGAAATTTATAGGAAACCAAAACGTGGGGGAAACGCGCAAATAATAAAAATATAGGGACTTTTTTATAATTAAATAAATAATATACACACACTAAACACAGAAATTTATATTTATAATAAAAAAATACATGTATATATATGAATGATATATCAATAAATAATATATATACACACACACTAAACACAAAAATATCATACTTGCACCTTATATTACGTAGTATGTAAATTAAAGTAGCAACTTTTGCTGTGTATAGTAGTACTCCACTACTGCCCTATTCATATACTCTGTATATCATACACATTTATATGTTTAAATGAATGCAAAATGTTTAATAAATTTCACAATCACTTAGTGGACATTATCATGTTAACCTACTAGGCCAAGTCTACAACATTACTCGGACTACTCGTACGTTTAATTTCAACCCCAAATCCCACCCACCGACTCAGGGGAGAACTGTGCTGTCGAGAAACCAAACCAGACCCCAAGTACAAACAGAGTAGGACGGATTGAGACGGCAGATAACACAATCGACATAGCAGAAGAAGAAGAAGAAGAAGAAAAGATTGGGAATTTCCTTGACCTGCTGAAGACGAAGAGCGCAGATGCTGATAGGATCTTCACTGAAGAATGAAGATGGCCAATCGCTGAAGAAGAAGAAGAAGAAGAAGAAGAAGAAGAAGACTGCAGATACTCCGCAGATTCCTAATTTATTTGGTTTTTTTTGTGAAACTCTGTTTTTGGGGGGAAACGGGTTTCCAAACTTTCGAAAATTTAAGAAACGGGCCTGACACGCGTTTTGGACGTTTCTCGTGTTCCGAAACATTGGTACGTTGAAGATACGGGGAAACGCTGGCCTTTCCACGTTTCTGTGCATTATAGAAGAAAACTAATATGAATGGAGGTAAAATATTGTTTGTCCCAATCTTTGGGGATACAAGTAGTGAACAAGTCAACTGAAGCATAACACTTGATAATTGCTTAGGCATATCAGATAAGTATATCACAAAGCAATGCACAAAAGAAACAAGTAGAAAGCAAACACAAAGCTTTCATTTCATACCAATTGGTGCATACTCCACTTGGATATGAAAAAGTTCTGTTCCCACCCTTCCACAAAAGACATTCCATTCAAAAATGTTGAGGTAATATAACCCGGTGCACCTGTCAAACAAATTTTAAACCGATATATTCTTTTAGATCTTCACCGGAACAAGCATGATATTGTGAAGAATTGGAACTCCAAAACATAAGGGGGAAATATTGGTGTTGGCATTAGTCTAATTCAAAGTGTTGCTGATTAGAAGAATAATATTAGGCATACAGCATTATGGGACAACAGTTTGAGCTAAAATAATCAAAACAGAACGCTATAACTTTAAAAGCATTTGTTGGCATAGTATATGTTGGCATGTTTGAAGAAAAACAAAATATACGGAGTACTATAAGTCTATTATAAAATAAATTAATTATTCCAAAATAGTCAATTCGCAGGATGATTTTGGTTGGTTGCTGCATTCAATAGGAATTGTCACTTTACTGGAACAAAGAGATTAAGGTTGCTTAAGTGTTTATGTAAGTGAAAAAGAAAACAGAAATAATTGCAAGAATTTCAAACAAAAATTGGAAAAGAGTGCAACCATAAATTTAGTAACATGTGTATGTGTATACAAACTTTTTAAAGCGAAAAACGAACAAAAGCGTTGAAGTGGGGCTTTGCTTCAAAGCGAAAGCGCTAAGCGAAGCGTAGGTTTCTCACGAAAAGCGATGTTTATAAAAATATACAAAAATAATATATATACATACATATATATAATGCATAATTAAGCCAAAAACACATAACTAGTCATAATAATCATAAGAGTAATGCTGGTGTGGCATAAAAATAGAACACATTCATCACACAATATCATAATTTCATTAAAAACGATGCTACGAATCATTAACATATAAAACATTCATCACACATAACTAGTCAAAGTAGTCATAAGAGTAACAGTGTAGACAACTAGACACTAGAACATAAAATATGATTGAATATGTAGCTCTTGTCCTATGCTTTAAATTTGAAAATTATAACTGAATGTTTTCCTGAAAAGTCATGAACTAAACTTGACAGGGGATACTGATTCATCATCATTACTACCCCAGTGCCGCAAAGGCTCCCACCTACGATGGGGTAAGGGGGGTCAGATGTACGTAGTCTTACCCCTGTACTAAAGCACGGGGAGACTGTTTTCGGATGACCCATAAAGAAAATCGCGTCAAATATTGCATGGACTGACTATTGCTTCATAACAAAAAAAGTGGAGACAGTTTAGCGAGCCGTTTTGCTTTATTCCATCATATCCCCAAGCCAAAAAAAAATTAGTGAGTCTTCGGCTCCATTGATTATGTTTATAAAACATTTAATATTTTTAATTTACTCCTCTGTCCCAAAAAAAATGATGATTTCTTTTAAACTTGAGTTTCTTTACCCAGAAAAGTCATATTTCAATAAAATAAGCTAATTTTCTATGAGTTTATTATCTAGTATCCAAAGAAAACTGTTCCAACCCAGTTAAGTACTGTAAATGTAGTTTTATAAAATATTTATATATGAAGTATACCTGAACTTAGATGAATAATGGGTCAAAAGTCAATAATGGAGAAAGACAAATTAGGGGGTAACTGCGTAATTGCAGGTTTTGTGTCTCTGTTTGTCTACAACTAGCTAAAAATGACCTTAATTGCTAGAAAAACTTTCATGGAGTTTGGGTGTTGATAAGATAATGGAATCTGAATAAATAAAACGAAAGTGAGTCATAGCAGAGTATTTATGTTCTACAAAAGTCTAGCAGTTAGAAGAAAAAAGAAAAGGAAGAAGTCTACCAGTTACTTGAAGAAGAAGAAGAAGTCTAACAGTTTAACTGGGGAAAAGTCTATCGCAGGGTGAGAGTCACAAACGATATCGATAGACGATTTCTTTACCTGCAGCTTTGTCTGGAAAAAATCGAGCGATGATACCCCTAACGTCTATCAACAAACCTAACACTTAAACAACTAATTGAACGGTCAAAGGAACACCTTTTGTGAAAAGCTCAGAAAAGCGAAAGCTTTTCGAATAAGCAAGTGCGGAGAAAGTGTAGCTTTCTCACCCATCATTGCTTCTCAAAAGCCAAGCTCTGTGGCGCCGCTTAATCGCGCTTCTAAAAAGTCTTTGTGTATATAACACACTAACTAACGGTAAGTACTTGAAGCAGTATTTTAAAAGAAAAAATTACTGCAGACATGCTACACACCCTGGAAAGGAGAAGCAATAGCAATCCAGCTTTTGACATACTTCTCAAAGATCTGCAGAGAAATCACCAACAAAGCAAAAATCCCACAAATTAGAATCCATTAAAAAACAAAAAACATAATAATGAAGGAACATGGCCTGGAACATTGTCAATTTGTCATCCAGAACAAAATGCTCCATTTGCCCCAATATATATGGCTATTTTGGTTTTTGAGTGGTTCATAAAAAAGAAGTGTAGTTCACTTGCCAAAATTATCCCTCAAAATGGGTCAGCTGTAACAAAAAGGCAAGAGAGAAAAAGTTGCATTTGTAAAATAGGACAGAGGGACTGACTGTTTGTCTACATAAATAATTACAAAAGGTAATTGAATCTTAATGAAGGAAAATGTTACATCACTGTGAAGGGCCAAGAAGCATTTCACAAGGAGACCGCCCATAGAATGACTAATGATGTTTATCTTTTTGCCTCCTGAGGCAATATATACTGACTCCATCTTCGCTGCAAGGCGCTCAAGAGTTTCATGAAACCTTGAAATGGTCATAAAAACATAAATTACTAACAGCTACAAGTAATTTATTTAATAAAAAATGTTTCAGTAAAATCATCAAAGAGATATGGAATGATCATGTTAGATAGCATCCTAATAGTTTAATTAATACAAAATGAAAAAATGGCAGTCCAACCCTCAGAGTGAACTGGAAGAATTATTTTAGAAGAGTAAGTGCAGATACAAGGACTAATCTGCAAAGAAACTGGAAAGGGAAAAAATCAATACATAGGGAATGCAAGTAGAAGAGTAAGTGCAGATTCGTGGACTGATATGCATGGAAACAGGAAAATGAATAACATACATTAGCAACAGAAACAAACTTTTGGAGCTCGGGAAAATAAATGAAGATGAGGCAATATAAATCTTAACCCAATTCGTCCTTGTTGGCTCACAAGTCCCAAGGTGTCTAATCCAGCAAGGCTTTAAGCTTAGTTTCTATGATAGATGGGGTCACAAGTGGGTTTAGTATGTCTTCCTTTCGGACAAAAATCTTGCGACACGAATAAATACTTTCCCCATTCCAAAGTAACTACTGCTTTGAGGAATTAATGGTCTCTTAATATTCGAAAGTAACAATTGTATTAGAAGATAAATTTCCTCTAAGGTGAAGGTTATGATGGGAGAGTTGGATTAAATAAATAAGACTAAGTACAATAGGGACGTAGTTTTAAAACCCACCAAATAAAATGCCCTGTTTCAGAAAATACGGAAATAGTACTATAGTAAGAGAAATATAGCTAAAGTTTATCAGTTCATTCGATTTGAGTTGGACACAATTCCCTTTGGACTTTAGCTATCAATTTAGCCACTGTTGATTCATCCACTTTTCTAAATTCACGGATTTTTAATCCAAAATGTCAACGCTCTATGATACCCTTAAATGATAATCATGCGAAGACATGTTGAGACATTTTGGACTAAATTAGGTACCCGAAAGTTGTCGAGTGGTCTAATTACTACTCCGTATTAATTAGTTACGAACCAAAAAGTGGAAATGACGTCAAAGTCATGGACTCATAGTATCACTGTTCACAAACATATTCAGTTTGTGAAGGTACACATATTTACCTGATGCTTTGGCGAAAATCATAACCAAACCCAAAAAGTGTAGTTCCCTCTTGATAGCCCCACTTGAGCATTTCAACTATCATATCATGGAAATAATATACACTGTCGCAGCCAATAATCTGCATTAAATCAGCCATATAGGTGATAATGTTATAAAAGTTGTGTACATCCCTATTCCATACATCACTTGGTAAAGAACTAAATATCACTGCCCATCAGCTATGTGCATATAGCATCAATAACACCCATATAGAAGGTCAATCCATAACTTGGACAAATAAAGCCTCCATTCATAATTACGTATTTTCATAACTAACCATCACGCAGTTTGTCAATTTGTCATATTTTGATACATAAATTGTTTCCAAGATAAATATTGGACATGATGAAACTGTGCTGAAGTAATAGTAGCCTCAAACCAAAGCAAAAATATGTTCAAAGACATTAAATAATTAGTTCCAGATAGACTTCATTGATTTTTTTACTAAAAGAGTTTATTGCCTGCACTAGTTGCATCAGAATAGCATATGCAATTCATGGGAAGAAACTTGAAAATTTTCAAGTTGTAAGTGAAACTCAAGATAAAAAGGTACATCATACTCCCTTTGTCCCGCATTCAAGTTCCCACTTTTCTTTTCGGGATGTCCCATATTAAAGTTCATATTTCAATTTTTAGAAACATTTTTATATCAAATGAGTTTAATATCCCCACCCCATTTACCCCTCCACACCCTCATCATAACCTAACCTGCCCGCCCCATTTTTTCCCCATATCCCTCTCTCTTTTGTCGCTCTGTTGTCCTTTTATCTTCTCTTAGTCTCCTTCTCTCTTCTCCGGTGTACCATCTTCTTTGTTTATATATGTCAGTGTTGTCAATCCCAGATAGCGAAACATAGCAGCCAAACTCGAAAACGCTACAGCGGTATAGTGAGTAGCGAGATGACCATTGTTTGGACAAACTAATATGCAAAATACATATTATACGTATGCATATAACATGCCACGCACATGACAAATCTAAGAATTGATAAATCAGAAATATATTACTCAAAATCTCAGACGTCATAAAGTTCATACTTGCTATATTACCAATAAAATGGCACATGTGTCTTAAACAAAAGAAACAAATAATTTAAGTAACTTACCTCTAAACATTAAAATTTAAAAATTAAGCTCCTGAAAATTCTTGATAAATTAGGAGCCATTAATATCTCATTATAAGAAAATCATGGTTGTTGGGATACCTTGAACTGCCTTAACTGGAGATGTACGGTGTAGGTTATGTAGATCTTGATTTCTGTTTTGAGTTAATTAAGTAGGGTTTAGTGGGGTTATTTTTTACTCTAAAAATATCTAAAAGTAAAAAATACTCCCATATCCCCTCAAAACTAGCACTGAAGTAGCCAAAAAATTATAGCGGCTCTCGGGCTCTCAGCTGCTATTCTTCCCGCTATAGCGCCCGCTACTGGCGCTATTTCCAACAGCTCCGCTATAGGCAATCTGATAACGCCTAGCCCCTCTTCGCTACTTTGCTATAGCGCACTATTGACAACACTGCTCTACGTTGCTTTCCGTTTCTATCCGTCTCATCTCTGCTCCTCCTTCGTTGCCTCTTCACCTCCGTTATTCTCCTTTAGTAGCAATATAATGCCGGTGAAATGGATGAAAAATCCACCTCACTGGAAAGACACTAATGATGTCGGAGATGATAAATTCCCAGTAGACCACTAAGGATGGTTGCCAGTAGGCCACTATCTCAATGGCATGCCTTCCCTTGAAGGAACATTGTTCGCCCTTGCACTATTCATCCTAGCAACTCGCAACTGTTTTAAAAGAGTACTCCAAAAGGAACAATGTTGGCTTATGGTTCCTAGATGTGTGACTTCTATTGTATGGGAAGCATTATTCAAAGAATACGGGTTGTATTTACTAAATGAAAAGTAAAAGTTAAACAGTTGCAACTAACCACAATTTGGTCAGTGACAAAAGCTCACCATGTCAGGATCCAAACAATCAATTGCATATAAACCATATCTGTCTTCAGGGACCTCAATACTCGTATCAGTGTCTAAGTTCACTGTTTGACCTATTCATGAAACCCAAAAGTAGGTCAGCAGGTCAATCTTTTTCCTTTCTAAAAAGGACAAGTGCAGGGCATCTCACGTTTCCACCAGTCGTAGCTACTACCAAACAATGTAAAAAAGATCAATGATTTATTAGGATGGTAAGAATTAGCTATTCAACTCCGTCCAAGATATATTCAACTGTGATTCATTTAGCTACTTCTGAGACTCGTTGAACTATAAAAACATGTCTGAATGCATTTAAAATTGATAATAATAAAAAAACTAGTAGTTGTTGTTACTAAAATAGATACGGAGTATATAATAATGAAAAACCGAATATTTTTAGATTAGATTTCACAATTCGTGTAAGAAGTTAATCGGGAAAATCAAAACAAAAAAAAAACAGCCACCTGTGGAAGAATCGAAGTGAGACCAGAGCTTGTCACAGAATTCGCGGTCGGCTCCAAGGATCCGGACCCAAATCCGTTCAGATCGACCTGTTTTATGGTTGACGGCGTTGAGAATTGAGCCGGCGATTCCTGGGACAAGAAGCACCGGGTCGAGAGTGGGGTCAACCATCGTCGGCGTCTTTTTTATCAGTCCCATCCATAGCTCCAATGACTTCACTATATCCTCTAACAACACCGCCATCCCAATTGCAGATTCTCTCCTTTCTTGAATATGTATTTGCTGAATGCTGTAGTGTTTAATTCGAGCTGGGCAAGTTGAGTTCGGACAGGTGAAGTTGAAGTTGACGAGAATTGAAGGAACCTAGCGTCTATTGAGGTGTTTCAAAGGAGATTTAAGAGGAAGAACTTGAAGCAGCGGGCAGCGGGCAGCGGGCAGCGGGCAGCGGGCAGCGGGGGTGTACGGTATATCCGGGTGTTTTTGTAATACATATCAACTTTAAGCCTTGTTTCTTCTTTTCTTTTTATTTCCTTAGACACTCCATCTCCGGATCTTGACACGGATATTAGTTTGACACGAATATTAGTAGGTGGAGGTAGCTCTAGACGGCTGCACTGGCGGACACAAAGGGGGGCTATGGGGGCTGCCGCCCCTTCGGGGAAAAAAATTCTAGTTATATTTACCCCAAAATTTTTAATATATATGTATTTGTATGTATATTCTGGTACTGCCTGTTGGTCCAAAATAGGACGCTCGTAGGCTTTTAGGAAAGCTACGAAAGAACACTCAAGCAAGAATCAAGAATATAATGCGAGAATGGAAAGTTGTTCAGGAATTTTAGTTGCCAAGAATAGCATGTCTGTATTTGAATCACGACTTGCCTTTTATAGGCTGTTTACAAATGGTAACTGCCGAATAATAATGGCTAAATTAATTACATCATTAATACGGAATTAAATACATAATTAATAGCGCATTCATTGTTGGCCGTTACTCTTCGTGGCTGGCTGGCGGGTCGGCATGGCTGGCCGGCCGGACGCTTGAGCCCCTTGGACGGCAGGCTTGGAAGGCAGGCCCCCTGCTGGGCTAGAGGCGAGCTCCTGGCTAGGCCGGAAGGCAGGCTTCCGGTTAGGCTGGTGGGCAGGCCATCTAAGGCCTCCACTCAGTTGGACCTTCGTTCCTTGATGGGTTTGATCAAATGGGCCGGCTTGAGATCTGGATTGCTGGGTCCGTTGGTTGGGCCTATTGATCCAAGTTCGGGGCCTGGGCCAATTAGGCATTGGACCTAGTCCCATAACCCCATCACGAGTCCCCCACTCCCTTAGTCGAGTAGTAGACTCGGCTAAGAGGGAGTAGTCCAAGTAAGCTGCCAATTTAAGGAATACTCACACACTAGGGAGCAATAATTGTGGACACTGTCAATCCAACAATTTATGGAGATTCCCCATTTTTTCTTTGCTTTTCTTTTCTTTGACATGCCAAGCAGATAGCAGCCGGGCGGTTGGATTGGCGGCCAGGCGGCAAGGTGACCGGGCGGCAAGGCGACCGGGCGGCCGGGCGGCAAGGCGACCGGGCGGCAAGGCGACCGGGCGGCCGGGCGGCAAGGCGGCCGGGCGGCAAGGCGACCGGGCGGCCGGGAGGCAAGACGGTCGGGTGGCAAGGCGACCGGGCGACCGGGCGGTAAGGCGGTCGGGCGACCAAGCAGCCAGACGGCTGTGCGGCCGGGCGACCGGGCGGCAAGGCGGCCGGGTGACCAAACGACCAGACGGCTGGGCCGGGCGGTCGGGCAGTCGGGCGCCAAGGCGGCTGGGCGGCAAGGCGGCCAGGCGACAGGGCGGCAGGGCGACCGGGCGACCGGGCGGCCTGGCGGTCGGGCGGCAAGGAGACCGGGCGGCCGGGCGGCAAGGCGGCTGGGCGACCAAACGGCCAGACGGCTGGGCCGGGCGGTCGGGCGCCAAGGCAGCCGGGCGGCAAGGCGGTCAGGCGGTAAGGCGACCGGGCAGCAAGGGGTCCGAGCGACCAGACGGCAAGGCGGCCGGGCGACCAAGCGGCCAGACGGCTGTGCGGCCGGGGCGACCAGGCTTGCAAGGCGGCCAGGCGGCAAGGCAGCCGGGCGGCAAGGCGGCCGGGTGGCCAGGCGGTAAGGCGCCCGGGCGGCTGGGCGGCCAGGCAACGAGGCGGCCAGGCAACGAGGCGGCCAGGCAACGAGGCGGCCAGGCGGCCGGGCGGCAAGGCGGCTCGGTGGCCGGGCGTCCACGCGGTCAGGCGGCTAGGCGGTCAGGCGGCTAGGCGGCCGGGCGGCCAGGCGGCTGGGCGGTGCAATGGCTCCTGTACTGTGAGAAGCTTTACGGCCGACAGCAACCAATTGACGTCCTTCCTTGTCTTTCGCGTTGTCCGGTGAGCCTCGAATCCGACAGGCTATAGGTCGGTAACCCTGGTCAGCGGCGCAATTTCCCAGGTCGGTGGATGTACCTCTGGTCAGCCGGACAGGTTGGCTACGGATCCCAGAAGTTGGATGACTGTGAGTAACCTTCTGCTGTTTGATTCCCTCTTAAGCCAATGGCCGAATTTAGACAGTCTGATGTTGCTAATTGTGATACGGCAGCCCCGTAGCCAAGTCGGCCATGTTGAGAAGAATTCCCCTCGTGGGATGGCTGAAAACAGGTTGCTCCTAAAATTCCCAAATCATGAGTGATGAGATGAGTGCAAACTGTAGACCTCAACTCGGTGTCTTCCACTGCCTTTTGCTCGTGTGGATCAATGTGTCGGATGACCTCCATGGGCTGTGAGTTAGCACTTATGATGGCAGCGTGAGGTTCGACGGAAACCTTGAGTTCGGCAGGCACATAGGCAGCCTGTACTGGTGATGGGTCGGCTTGCCGCTCCCCCAAGATGAGTCGGTAGTGGGGATTCAACCGATCAGCAGATCATTGACTTGATTCTCGTGATTTTCTGATGATGGTTCGTCATCGTTTTGCAGGGTCCATCCAAGATGGTTGGAGCACATTGAGGCATTGGTCTTCTGCTGGAAAATTTCAACATGAGGTCGATAGGGCCAAGATTGCCACGTGGAATCCTTGAGAGCTTCATCTCGTTCGCCTTCAAGTATGATCAATTGGGGTCTTCTCCACGAAGGCAGGTAGAGAGCCAATTCCAGAGGACGAAATTGGAGTTCAGATTTGAGAGAGCTTCTTTCGGTTCCTGATGGTCCCCCGCCATGACATTTTACTTTTCTTTTTGTAGCTTGAAGTTGAGAGATGTAATTTTGAGTGGATGTTTAATTTTAATCCATATGTTTCTTTTTCTATACTTTGCATCACGAACACTTAGGCAATTTATTCGGGGATCCGGCTTCTCTAACTTCCCAGGGGGTGGTTTGGCTGGCGTGGCCGAGCCTATCCGTGCCCCTCCCAGTTGGATAGAAGTGATCTGTTCGTTGTTGATATGGAATCAGCAAGTATGCGACTTGTTCGGCCAGCAAGGTTAGACATTGAACTTTCGAGGTGGACACTTAGGTCGGCACCCCGAACGTCATGACCCGGGGGTCACTCCTACTGTCGCTTTAACCCGTCCAGTTTGTTCGGACTTGGGGAATAATCTGGTTACTCCCGCGGGGTTAGCCAAACAACAGGGGCGGACCCTGCGCGATCCACCAGAACGGACCCGCACCGCCAACTCGGGGATGGCGAGAGTGCGAGCTGCTTGGCCGGCAACGTCGGGCGGCGAATTCTCAGATGGACCCGGAGGTCGGCCTCTTGAGCGCTCTCGACCCGGAGGTCGGCCCTACTGTCGCCTCGACTGTCGCGGTTAACTCTTTACTTTAGAAAATAGCTTGGATTTTCAAAAATCGCTTGGCTATTTTCAGTTCAAGAGCCTGATTGAGGTCGGCCAAACACCGAGGGGGGGCATAGTACTCATTTTTTTTCTTTTTTTTTTCTTTCTTTTTTTTTTGCCGCCGCCCTTAATTGCTAAGTGAGGCCGGACCTCTTTTGAAAACAAAATATCGCTAGCAAAGTATATTGAATTCATGATGTGGGCGGACCACATGAAGAATTCCAAATCGTAACCCCATGCTCGGAGCACAGGAGTTTACAAAGAAAAGTGAAACTTCGTTACTTTATTGGTGGAACTTCATCAGGTGCTCAGCGTTCCAGACACGGTCTACTAGCCGACCTGTCGTCGTCTTCAATTTATACGTCCCGGGACCGACCACAGCGTCAATCACATAGGGGCCTTCCCACTTGGCGGAAAGCTTACCTCCCTCCGTCGGCTTGCTGGCCTTCCTACGCCTCAAGACGTAATCACCCATATCGAAGCTCCGTAGCTGGGCTCGGCAGTCCTGGTATGCCTTGACTTGGCGTCGATAGTTCTCTGCTTTGATGAAGGCTCGGTCCCTTCTTTCCTCAATGAGGTGGGGTTCGGATCTGAGCCTCTCCTCATTGTCGGCTGGTTCGAAGTCTTCGACTCGCCGACTAGGGACTACAGCCTCAAACGGCGCCCGTGCCTCAAAGCCATAACACAAGGCGAAAGGGGTTTCCCCGATCGCCATCCTCGGGGTCGTCCTGAAGGTCCAGAGTATATTGTTTAATTCTTCCACTCAGGCAGTCCATTGACGATCTTCCGGTTGGTGTTCTCCACTTGTCCATTTGCTTGTGGGTAGTGACTCGGTTGGACTCCACCCCCCACTCTGCGCAAAACTGCTGGAAGGCCTTGCAGTCAAACTGCCTCCTGTTGTCGGAGATTATTTGGAGGGGAACTCCGAACCGGAAAAAAATATTCTTCCATATGAATTCCCTACACTGGAGATGTGTGATGCTTGCGAGCGTCTCGGCCTCAACCCACTTCGTAAAGTAGTCCACCGCAATGATTACAAACTTCCGGTTTCCCGACCCAGTTGGCAAGGGACCGACCAGGTCGACGCCCCATCTCGTGAATGGAAGGGCGGTGCTGATCGGCGTGTACATCGTTGCCGGCCGGCCGGGGCTCTTCTGAAACTTTTGACATGTCTCACACCTCCTTGCATAGTCGGCGCAATCCCTCATTATCGTCGGCCAAAAGTATCCCTGGAGGACGACCTTCCTAGCTACTGTGCATGCTCCGTAGTGGGCGGAGCACACGCCCCAATGGAGTTCGGAGACGATCATGTCCGCCTTATGTGGGCGTAGGCAATTTAGCAAGGTCCCAATGTAGGACCTCTTGTATAGCTTCCCGTCCAAGACGACGTAGCCCGGGGCTCGTCACCGGACTAGCCTTTCTTCCACTTCTTTATCTGGCAGCGTCCCATCGGCTATGTAACGCAGGAGGTCATCCACCCAGCACCAGGCGGCCGATTGCAGGGGGAGGACGTTTGGCGAACGGTGAGGCTGCTATG